GTGTACTGCCATTTTTGCACCCATAAGAAAGGTCACACTCGCCCAAGCTGCAAAACTGAGCACATTTTTATTTCAGACCCAACGCAATTCTGCACAGGCAGGAAAGTACCCTGTATCACATAACCAACATCCTCTCATGTCCACTGGCAGGTCCCCGAAAGCCTGGCACAGGATTTAGATAAAAATCAAATGAAAGATCCCTAAGGAAACTTATTTAATGGTTCAACCCAACAACATCCTCTCCATTGGTAAAATCAGCACCTGCTGACAGGGGAACACAATCATTCATTAACAGGGAAGACCATACTTATGCTTTCAAGTGCAAAGATTAATTACGAATGTCAGAAAGCCTAAACTGATTGTTATCAGCCACCAGGAACTCAAAAAGGAAAGCAAGGGCACTGTGGAAGTGATGCTCTTCCTGGGAACGCAGTACAGCCTTTCTGAGCAAGGGTCCAAGACACGGGAGAGGAAGCTACGCCGATCAGAGGGCCCTGTTCTCACGGGGAAACGCGCTGGCTGTGCTTTTTCTGGCTGGGTCCTTCCCCGAGGTCCATTCCACTGGCTTCACGGTAACTTGGTCCTCTGGTCTCAAGGTGACTCTTTGGGAGGCTTTTGGTTCTAATCTTTACAGTTCCAAGAATCCATCCTGGCTGAACCCAAGGGTAACACACCCTGTCCAAAACTCAGCTGTTCTCGTGCTGCATGTGTAAGTGTGTATATACCGGCTCCGGGGTGGAGACAGAGCTTCCTTCCTCGTTAGCAGGCGAACCCTGCACAGCCGCACCGCTCTGGCCACTAGCTCTTTCTCCTGTGTTCCCTCATGCGCGCAGCAATTGAACCAGCGATCTCTGCATTCTTCTTGTTCTGGCCGAAATAATCTAGAAACTCACCGTCTGGTCCAATCAAGTACATGATGATTGTATGATCCACCTGCAGAGAAAAGGCGGGGTGGGGGGGGGTGATAAAAAGATCACCAGAACAAGCTGCTTATTTTATTGAAGAAACGCTGCAGGATACGAGGCTTCACGTGAATGGGGAAGTAACCTCTGTAGCATCAATCTACCAAGTGGGCCTAAGCCTTTTACAGTAAATTCACAGTGACACGTTACCTTTGGTGTTACCAAAATCTGCCCTAACTCTTGCTTGACACATTAGCTAGAGCCTGGAATTCTTTTGGTTCAACCCTTAACATACTCATTCACACAATTTCTGAGAAAAGAACACATGTCTAAGAAACGGCTGGGGCTGGTCTTCACAGAACTGCCAGTGCCCGTGGAACAGCAATGCCTGCTTGGGAAGGAGTGGAACATTTCATCTGACCCCTTAACCGTGTTACAGAGAGATACCGGTATCACATGGAACTAAAAGTGCTGGTGAGAAATTACTTTCTTTAATTAAGTTCTTGGGTATATTCTTTAATGTTTTAGGAAGAACTGATTATCAATCATTACTGACTAAATTCTGCTTACCATGTTTTATGAGAAGGAAGCCAGAAAACTAACCACTATATATATATCTTCTAACACAGTATTTAGTCCTTATATCAAATGGAAACACGGAAATGAGTGTTCTCCCTGGGGAATATTTAAACTACTTTGAAAACTCGGACCTGAAGCAAATCACATGGAAGTTCCTCAGAAGTCATAAACGCTCCACCTCCTAGGAGTCACCTTAAATCCATTAACCATTTTCCTGGCAAAGTTCTTAAAATGTTGCTAGCTCTACCTAAAGTTTAGATCAGACATGGACTTTTTTTAGTTACAAGCTTCTACAAATCCAATTTTAAATGAGCAGACTTGGCACTTGGAATCCTTGGAGTTCATTCCAGGCTTGATTGCTACTTGGCAAGACAGAAAGAGAGACAGGAATGTGATCACACATACCAAACTGGAGACACCCCCAAGCATACTCGAATACACTTGACATGTCTGTGAGGTTATCGTGCTTTTATACACACATTCACGAAGAGGCAGCAAATGTGAAGAGCCACTTGCCTCCTCACATAAGGAAAGAATGTGTACCCAAAGGGCTCAGACAGCTGGGGATTTCGCGTGTCTTGGAATAATTCACTGTGGGAGGAGGACAGGGGACCTGCGTTTCTGCAGTCGTCTGACACAGAGTCGGAATCAGGTCTCCAGATGTCTCGTCAAGACTTACTTCGTAGCTTACACCCTCCTTTCTCCCAATTTATTCCTTTTTCTATTCTTTCTATTATCTGTCCTCTCTCCCCCTCAAAACCCAGAATTTCAGTGTGTGCTAGACTTATGAGTGTTCTTCGTATAAGTTACTTTCTAATACATAATACCGTTCTACCTGTATCTGTCAGCCTAGTCAGTGGTCATGTCTCAGTGTCCACTTGGGCTGTGGGCAGAGCAGACCACCACCTGTTTCTGATGCAAAGTTCTAGCAATCCCCAGCACAGGAAAGGGAAACTAGCGCAGGCTGACAAGCTCTTTGACGTGTTACCTTAACCCAGGATGTGGGTACTGTACTCCCCTTCAAATGACAAAACAGGCTCAAGGGCAAGTTACGTAATTAGTCAGTGCCAGAGCAAGCTCCGACCCTAGACCTGCCCCACTGCAAAGTCCACAAACTTTTCACATCACCGCATTGCCACCATCTCTGTCAGGAACGCTGGAGAGCCATGAGACACTGTTTCTACTGTGCAAGTTTGTACACATACATCCAGATGTAATTTTTGCCTTTGGGGAAGGTAATGTGTGCACATAACGAAGAACAGAGGAACATCCAGTGTACACAGACGATGAGTCTTCCACTCCTTTCGGACTCCGAGTCCCCCAGTTCTCAAACAGAACCACTGCTACCAGTCCTTTCTGTATTCCTCCAAAGAACCCCGCTCCTACATATATCAGCATGTCTGTACCCACCTACTTCTTTTTACACAGAAGGAACGACACACCATACTTGTTTTCTCACTGAGCAACACACTAGGCATCGTTCTCCATCAGTACATATACAGTGGCCTTTAAAAAATGGTTGCTTGGTTTTCAGTCTTTTTACAAACAATGCTGCAGGTTATATCTGCAGGATAAATTCTAAAAAGTGGGGTCTCCAACCTAAAAAGCATTTCACTCTAAATATCGATGATACTGACAAGCTGCCCTCTGAAGAAGGCGTATCAGTTTAACTCCCACCACAGTGCGTGGAAGTGCCAGCTGCTCCAAATTCACTCCAACGCTGTAGAGTCTTCTCTTTTCCCAAATTTGATTTTGACAATGTATTTCTAACTTTTGACCTTTCTGATCTAACAGGTGAAAAAACTGGCCATCACATTATACAATTCACATTTCTTTTATGACTAAAACTGAACATCTTTTTGTAGGTTTGAGAGCTATTTGTATTCTTTTTCAAAAGTATTTCCTAATTAACACAAAACAATGTAATATTATACATATAAAGCAATGATGTGCACATTTAACTTTCAGCAGAATCCTAACAGTCTGGCACGCCCAGGTTACACACACTGCTGGTCTGTGGATTCCACTAGCATTCAAGGCTAGACGCTCATCTTCGTTGCTTTTGTTTGAGATTGAGAAAACCTCATTCCTTTACATCTCAATCTTTAAGGTACTCCCTCACTCCCTACGTGTCCTTAAATCTGAAGTTTCCCATACCATCTTGTGGATGAGAATCTGTGACCTAGAGGGACATAGTCATACTACTGAAAAACCCAAGAAGCTGGAGAGTGTCTCCCTCTATTGGATGATTTAGGAAATGTATAGGAATGAACTCACTGATTCTTATCGAAACATCACATTGTCATAGCAGTAGACCAGTAATTTCTCAAAATGGGGTCTGGGATGTGTTCTAGAGGATCTAAGAAGTCTCCATAAGACTTAAGTATTTGCATTTTAATTTTTAAGATTAAAAAAATTAATATCCATATTCTGGATTATCTGCATGACTACCTTTCAGTACAAATCCCAGCACCCAAACCTGTGATTTATGTTAATGAGCTCACTGGCACCTATCTATACTTTACTGGTTATGGTCAGACGAGAAAATGATATACTCTTACTAAGTCAGGACCAACCAGTCCAGGCAGGCTACACAATCAAAGGTTTCCAAGTATTTCAAATAAAAAACCATGAGAGGCAGTTGAAGATCTGGGTATCTGACAGCAGTCTGACCCAAATCACATTCCTGTGGTGAGCAGTGCTTTGGTTTCAGCAAAGTTATCTATTGTAACATTAACTGAATGCCTTGAGTTCTGTAGGCTGCTTGGTCTAATCTGTAAAATTTAAATTAAGAATTATGAGCTATACAAGCATAAGACTAAGGACTGTTACTAGTTTACCACTGCACGGATGTAAACAATTCAACACCGGAAGTCAGACTGACTAACCCAACCGCTGTAACTAGTATCCTAAGTTAAACTCAAAACCAGTCAATACAGCGCTCTTTCATACAGAGAGTAAAGTCTGCCAAAGCTCTTTTTGCCCACGGCGTCCCCTCGGCCACCGCTCCCCTCTGCTCTGCCCCCCTCCTCCTCAAGCTGCTGTAAGTGACTTAAACTTAGGGCATAAGGAAAAATGCCAGCTTTTCTCATCTTTTTCTCCCATGAATTCAAGTTTCCCTAGGTCTATGAGGCACCAGAACTAGAAACTAAGATTACCATATGGGCTTAAGGCAAAGGGACCAGAAACTAGCTTTTAATTTAGGCCAAAGGCTATAGGGACACACAGTGTACTCCAGGTTCAAAGGTGATGGCGAAACCACACTGGGCCATAGAGACAAAGGACCACTGTGAGACGCCCCTCTGCACATCACTCTTGGTTGGGAGCAGCCAGTGGATCAACGACTCAGGGTCCCGACTATCTTTCTTTCTGCAAAACGAGCTCTGGGGCTGAAAAGGCTCTGATGGTTAATCACTGTGTCCAACCAATATTATACAGAAACTAGAGCACCAGTGAGAAAAAGACCTGAAATAACACTAAAACACACTGTCACCTCTTCATGTGACAGGAGAAAACGTCCATACTGAGAAGGAAATGGGGCAGGCAGGGGCGGTGCTTATGCACTTTGTTGGTGCTTCACTGTGAAACTGCTGATCAGAGGAGGAACAAGATGGCTTGGGCAGGAGCTCAGGGCTCCAGAGCAGTGCTGATGAATGTAAAGCTGGTTCTTTAATATGAGAGCTGCAGAAGTTCAACCTCACAGAATTTGTTCCTCATCATTAAAAAGCATGTATTAAACGATGAATTATGCGGAGCATAACAGTTACAAATGTAACTAAATACAAAATCATGCAAATGCATGTACCTGATATGAAAACAAACCTTATAGAAAGTCTACGTGCCTATAGCATTCTTTCCCCTTGCTTTTCAGAATTCTTACTCATTCAACACGAAAATGCAGCTCCCCATGGCCTAACACTGCTTCTCAAAGGAAGCATATTTTTTATGCCTCTTCACTGGGACAGACAGAACCAATACAATGTTTATAAACTAAAATAAGCTTTGCCCCCAAATGATTTACTATATTCTATTAAATCTAATGTATCACTGATTTCATATTGCCCTATAATTTTACATGTCACCAGAAAAGAAAAACAGGCAATTAAATCATGGGAAGAGTGAATAGAAATTAAACAAACACCCTTTAAAAAATATATACTTCTACTATTCTTTTAAACATTCCTAATTTCTACAGAATTTGCCATAATCTCAGGTTATCCTTCATTTTCATTTCATTTTTAAAGCCAGTCATCACTTAAAGAGATATGAATGTCTGGGACCAGGGGCTGAAAGCTGAGCATTTACTCACTATGTAGTCCTCATCTTCGTCCTTGGGGCCAGGGCTGTAATACACCCTGAATGCTCTGGCCACTTGATCGATCTCTTCTTTTGTGCCAGTCAAGCCAATCAGTTTGGGAGAAAACTCTAAATAAAAAATGAGAAACACAGTGAAAAAGAAGAAGCAAGCAAAACAACCATCTCTACTTCAAAGAACAGTATCAGTTATAAAGCAGCCCTATTTCCACTTTCTTCCTAAACATTTCTTCATTTCAAAGGAAGAAATTCACATACAACAAATGAAAATTCTCCCATGTAATACATGTCACATCCACCAAGACAGATCACACTAGAAGTAAGTTAGAAACCAACAGCAGAAAGATAGCTGGAAGATCCCCAAACACACAGAGATCAAACACATTTCTAAGTAAACACAGGTCAAAGAAATCTCAGGAGAAATTTAAAAATATTTTGAATAAAACAAAAGTGTAAATACAACTTATCAAAATTTGTGGACTGCAGCAAAAACAGTGCTTAAGAGGGAAATTTATAGCACTGAATGCATATAGTAGATAAGATCTAAAATCAGTAAATCTATAATCTAGAAAAAGAGCAAATTAAAATCTGAAGTACACAGAAGGAAAGAATTACAGCAGAAATCAATGAAACTGAAAACGACATCAATAGAGAAGAGAAAGGAAACCAAAAGCTAGTTCTTTGTAACGCGTAAATCAAATTCTCTCATGACTATTTAGTAAAGAGCTGGAGGGAATATATTCCAATTATTTAAATCACATTTTTTGTTAATTTAGTTGTTTTTAAATACTTAGATGTAGTTCTGAGATATGCTTAAGTTTAAAAATATTATTATGAATTAAGCAGTACAGCTTTCCATTGTATCACAGGAGAAGAGAGTCTGCTCATAATTAGTTCATACCAGGTCAAAATACCTGTATCTCGTTTTCCAGCAAATAATCTCACAGTGTGCATTTACTGCTAAGTTTTTGAATTTATGTAAGTAAGCCGGGGAAAGCCTCTTAGAATACCTGGGTTCATCAGACTAGCGAGCTGAGAGTCCAGTATTTAACAGCAGAACCTTCTTCCAAGGGTAGATAAAGACTATTTTCATTCCTTGGACTAATTCATTCTAAATTGAAAAACGGCTCAGATACTGGAAAAGCAAGATAGCTTGTCTTTCTTTTCCACTGTGAGTAAATGAAGGGTAGGCGAATGAAGCCTGCATTAGTTGCACATCCAAACCTTTTAAAAACACTGTTGAAACTGCAGTGATTTTTCTAAAACTGAGTATTTTAAAATCTCCCTCCCCTCCAAATACAACTAGAAACGATCACACCATCAAGCCCTGCAGGTATGCACTGTCAAGTAACATCACTACAGTAAGGCTGTGGCACTTCCGTCAGGCATGGATTTGCGGGTGTTTACGGTTCGGTTAATGTGTGATAATAAGTAACTGCCAGTGACATGCATTTAAATTGCAAATCACTTATCACCCAATGGGTTATACCTGTTTTTTAGTGCTTTCAAAAGTAACTATGCTATTGCCCAAATTTCTGACAAGCCTGCAAACCATGGATATAAATTCTGCTCATATATACTAAAAACTACAACTTCAATGAGAAAACCAACTGTTGTAACCTCAGGTTAGGTACTGTTTTCCTGTTGAAGATTTTTTACATACAAAACGAAAGAATTTTCCGCAAAAGAACAAGCTCATAAACTGCTCTTCAAGAGACATGGTTGACATGACCAGACAAAGACTGGGAGGAAATATTGCAAATCAGACACCTGATAAAAGACTGTATCAAGAATATACATAAGAAGCGAGGAGGGGAGGTATAGCTCAAGTGGTAGAGCGCATGTTTAGCATGTGTGAGGGTTAGATCCCCAGTATCTCCTCTAAAACTAAATAAACCTAATTACCTCCCCCCCTCACTGCCAAAGCAAGATAATTAAATAATACAATAATAAATAAAAATATTTTACACTGGAATTTGACACAACATTGTAAAATTATTATAAATCAATAAAAAATGTTAAAAAGAATATAAATAAGAAGCAAATAAGTAAGTGAAAATGAAATAAACAGCCCCATAAAAATGGGCAAAAGATGTGAAAAGACAATTTACCAAAGAAGACAAACAGATGGCAAATAATGGCATGAAAGGATGCTTAACATTAAAAGTCGTTAGGGAAATGTGTATCAAAACCACAATGAGATCCCACCAAACACCTGCTGAAGTGGCTGAAATTAAAGGCTGACCCTATCAAATGTGGCAAGAATGTGGAGGAGTGGGAGCTCTCATATACTGCCAGTGGGAACGTAAAAATGTACAGCCACTTTGGGAAAGTCTGTCAGCTTCCTAAAAAGTTAAACATTCACCTATCACATGACTCAGCCACTCCACCCCTACGTATTTACTCAAGAGAAAGGAAAGCCTGTGTCCACACAAAGACACGTTCATATGCTCTTAGTAGCTTTATTGGTAATAGTCAAAGACTGGGAATAACTCCAACGTCCACCAATGGGATACTACTCAGCAGTAAAAATGAATGAATTATTGACACACTGTAACATGGGTGAATCTCAACATAATTATGCTGAAGGAAGACGTTAAAAAAAAGGGAACATATCATATAATTCCATTTACATAAACTTCTAGAAAATGCAAACTAATCTACATGAAAGAAAGCAGACCAGTGGCTGTCTGGAGACAGGAGGTGGGTGCGGGGCAGGGACATGAGGGAGGGATTAGCAAGGGCACAAGGAGCTGGCTGGGGGTGATGGATATGTTCACTCTCTGACCGTGGTGACCATCTCACAAGTGCACACACGTGTTAAACGGTAACAAACTGCACTTTAAAAATGTCCTCTACTGTATGTCAACTCTTTCTCAACATGTGTTAAATAATTAAAAGATACAGCAGGTCTTACTCAAAACACATTTTAAAATAACTCAAAATTTTGGAGGATATGCAATCAGAAGGTGTCATATAATAAAAATAAATAGAAAACTATTCATTAGTCCTTCTGACCAGTAGCTCAAATCAATTTCGCCATAACTAAAATTCAAACTCCTGAATTTTAAGCACCCATGCTCCCACACTAGTATAAAACCTGCCTGATCAGATTGTATTCTTGTCACATTTTTCAGCTGAAGAAACCTGAATCCACAGAAATTTAAGCAACTTGCCCAAGCTCATAAGAACTTACATATTCACCCTTTAATTCGACCATAATTTAGTTTTTAAAAGTAACTTCTAAAAGGTTTTAAACCGCACATTGAGATGAAATGAAATTCTTCCATTAATAATTATGTTTATCATTATTATTTTTGATTTGCAATATATGTGCTGAGCTCAAAATATGTTTATATTTAATAATTTTTCTTTAATCTCCCAATGAACATACCCTCAGGGCACATGTCTGTCTGTCCTAATTTTACAAAGGAGAGAATGAGCTACTAAGCTGGAGGCAGAAGAAATGCATCTTCTCAAGTCAAAGCTCTTTTATTTTGTTATACATGAAGGCCAAGTTCAACCCTTTCTCTGTGACAAAATTAAAAAGAGCCCTGCACCAGGAATTGAGAGACTTCTTATTTACTTACTTACCAGCCGTAGTCACAATTCTGAGCCTTATCTTACCCTCCACCTGTAAAACTGGTGACAGTACCATGTCCTCTCTATCTCA